AGGCTCAGGTGAGAAACCTGTGTAAATTAGATGTGTTCAGTGAAAATCCTGGTAGAACGGACATTGTGGAACATGACATTGTGTTGAAAGATGGAGCTTCTGTGAGGAGAATGAGTTACAGGATACCTGAGCGTCTACTGATCCCGTTGAAAGAGGAGATCGACCTGATGTTGTCACTAGGAATCATTGAAGCCTCGAAGAGCGAGTGGTGCCACCCGGTGGTCCTGGTGCCAAAGAAGGATGGCAGTATCCGTTTCTGCATAGACTTCAGGTACCTGAATGCAATATCACAATTTGATTCATATCCAACTCCCCGCATTGATGACATGGTTGAGCGCCTTGGGAAGGCCAGATACCTGACAACAATAGACCTCTGCAAGGGTTATTGGCAGGTACCACTGACTAAGCGCTCAAAAGAGCTGACTGCTTTCCGGACCCCGTGGGGCTTGTTCCAGTTTAAAGTCATGCCCTTTGGACTGCATGGTGCCCCGGCAACATTCCAGAGACTGATGGACCAGATACTGTCTGACATGTCTGATTTTGCTGCAGCCTACCTTGATGACATAGTGATTTTTAGTTCTACCTGGGAAGAACACCTGAAACACCTGGAGAAGGTATTGGGGCGTCTTCAGTCTGCAGGGTTGACTGTTAATCCAGCTAAGTGTGCCATTGCCAAGGCTGAAACTGAGTACCTTGGGTTTGTGATTGGAAATGGAGTAATAAAACCTCAAGTCAATAAGGTCACCGCCATAGAATCCTGTCCCTTGCCAGAGACCAGAAAACAGCTGAGATCATTTTTAGGTATGGCAGGATTCTATCATCGGTTTATCCCTCATTTCTCCGCCAGGGCAGCTCTTCTGACGGATCTGACTGGTGCCCGAAGTCCCAATAAGATCACCTGGACAGAGGAGGCTAAGATGGCTTTTCAGGACCTACGACAATCTCTGAGTAAGAGCCCAGTCTTGCACAGCCCTGATTTTGAGAGAAATTTCATTCTTCAGACTGATGCCTCAGAGAGAGGATTGGGAGCTGTTCTGTTACAGGGACCGCCTGGAGAGCGTCATCCAGTGGCCTTCATCAGCCGCAAGCTGTTTCCGAGGGAAGTGCGATACTCAACCATCGAGAAGGAGGGACTTGCCATCAAATGGGCCCTGGACTCCTTTAGGTATTATCTTCTCGGACGGGAGTTCATATTGGAAACAGACCACAAGGCTCTTCAATGGATAGAGAGAATGAAGGACACAAATGGAAGGATCACGCGATGGTACCTTGCGATCCAGCCATTCCGGTTCACTATCAACCACATCCCCGGCAAGGATAACTGCACTGCAGACTGTCTCTCTCGCTGTCCCAGGGAGAGATCTGAAGAGGGGGAGTGTGTGATGGCTGCACTTACAGCCACACAGTGGTAATATCACCATGTTAGTGTAGAGGCTTATAAGTAACATTGCATTCACATTTCTTTCTTTAAATATAGGAATTTATTTACAGGACAATAAATAACTGGTTTTGGTTTAGTTAATTCACATATCCACATAACACTGCATTCTAAAATTGACACCCGGTTACGCCAATCGGAGGTCACTAAAATCAATATTGAATCGGTGTGCAACTTTGCCAAAACAATGTCGGACTCTGTAGTTTTCTCTGGTCCCCTCCCCAATCAGACCAGGAGTGACATGTTTAGCCGCATGTTCTCCTTAAATTGCTGGCTGTCTGAGTGGTGTCCCAGAAACGATGTGGGCTTCATAGATAATTGGCAAACCTTCTGGAGGAAACCTGGTCTTGTTAGGAGAGACGGCATCCATCCCACTTTGGATGGAGCAGCTCTCATTTCTAGAAATATGGACAAATTTATTAAACCCCCCAAAATATGACTATCCAGAGTTGGGACCAGGAAGCAGAGTTGCAGTCTTACACGCCTCTCTGCAGCTTCTCTCCTCCTGCTACCCCCCAAAAACCCATCTCCATAGAGACTGTGTCAGCTTCCAAAAAGACAAAAAACAAACTAAAAACCAGCAACAAACAACTTAAACATAAACAATTACAAAGAAAGAACAATACAGTATCCACATCTGAACCAAAGAGTAAAACAGTGAAATGTGGATTATTAAATATTAGGTCTCTCTCCTCCAAGTCTCTGTTAGTACATGACTTAATAATTGATCAACAAATTGATTTACTCTGCCTTACAGAAACCTGGTTGCAGCAGGATGATTATGTTGTTATAATCACACCCCGAGTCATTATCCAAATCGAAACAGCGAGAGAGTCCTAAGAGCGGCAGCTTCTCCCATACAAGGCATCCATAAGTCTTGTAAATTTGACACTCAACTGTTTACTCTGCTTACAGAAACCGTTGACAGAGTGTTGTTAAAGTAACACCCAGTCTTTATAGATCTCGGAAGCGGGGGGCGGTGTGGCAGCAATTTTTCACACCAGCCTATTAATTAATGAAAGACCAAGACAGACTTTTAATTCATTTGAAAGCTCTGATGCTTACATGTCCACCCCAGCTGTAAACTCAGAAACCAGTCTTACTTGTTATCATCTATCGTCCACCTGGGCCTTACACAGAGTTTCTGTCTGATTTCTCAGACTTTTTATATCTAATTTAGTTCTAGCTCAGATAAAATAATTATTGTGGGTGATTTTAACATCCATGTAGATGCTAAAAATGACAGCCTCAACATGGCATTTAATCTGTTATTAGACTCAATTGGCTTCTCTCAAAATGTAAAAGAACCCACCCACCACTTTAATCACACTCTAGATCTTGTTTTAACATATGGCATAGAAACTGAACATTTAACAGTGTTTCCTGAAAACCCTCTCCTGTCTGATCATTTCCTGATAACATTTACATTTACAATAATTGATTACACAGCGGTGAGAGAGCTTCAAAGTAGAGCTTTCTGAAAGCGCTAATTTTAAGTGTGCCTATGCCGCCGCTAATCAGTATAGTTTGCCATTCAAACCTTGTAAAAGCTGAAATTTCCTGTAAAATATCTTAAAAAGAGTAATTAAAGAAATAAATATATTGCTCACGCACCCCAGACAATCCCGTTTTACTGAATTTAAGGCCTCTATTACTCATCCTTCCATTATATGACCCACATGGTGATATTGACCACTACGCTAACTAGCGTAGGAGCTCAGTGATAGCAACAGTTTAGCTTCAAGCCCATCCACAACACTTCCCCCTCTTCAGCATTCATTACACTCCCTGTGAGGACCATCTTACCTAGCAAAGCGAACGAAGTCTGCAGCTGGCCAGTCCTGCAATTATCCTTGATCCTTTGTTAATGGATTGTCCATATCTTGCTGTCCGAGCTATTCAGTTGACGATCGTCTGAACCTAGCTGTGGAATGAGCGTTCTCGCAAGTGCGAAACTAAGGTCTCTGAATCAGAAGTATTTGAAAATTCCTGTTGGATAATTCTTCACAGCGAGAGAGACAGTCTGCAGTGCAGTTATCCTTGCCGGGGATGTGGTTGATGGTGAACCGGAATGGCTGGATTGCAAGGTACCATCGCGTGATCCTTCCATTTGTGTCCTTCATTCTCTCTATCCATTGAAGAGCCTTGTGGTCTGTTTCCAATATGAACTCCCGTCCGAGAAGATAATACCTAAAGGAGTCCAGGGCCCATTTGATGGCAAGTCCCTCCTTCTCGATGGTTGAGTATCGCACTTCCCTCGGAAACAGCTTTCGGCTGATGAAGGCCACTGGATGACGCTCTCCAGGCGGTCCCTGTAACAGAACAGCTCCCAATCCTCTCTCTGAGGCATCAGTCTGAAGAATGAAATTTCTTGGCCGTTACGCTTGATTCATACTAGCTGAATTTGAGAGGCCAAAAACTGAATGAAGAACATAGACCCCCAAGCGTCTTTCCACGTCCTTCGAGTATCCCACCTGTTAAACCCACAAAGCCTAACAAAACATAAGTCCGAGATCTCCCTCTCTTTCTGAGAGGGCATCCACAAGCCTCATTGCCCATATGATATACGTGATAATTATACTCTCTAGATAATGAAATATTGACTACTCAAAAGAAATTATCTCACTAGCAATATAGAGTTATGTCAATTGATGATCACTGTGTGACTGACAAAAATTACTCAGAGAATGTTACCACATAATTCATCCCACAGAGGGTATACTTCTGAGTGCTAACAGCTGTCTACCAATTAGTACCACTTAGATCGTCTAGATATGCTTAGCACTTCATTGTTTTCCTCTCCCAACCTTTGTATCCTCTCAGGTTGCATGATCTCATGTGTGAAAGGACTTCCGATTAATTTCGTCACCAGTCAGACTTCCTTCCACAAGCCCACAGATCTCATGACGCTGCGTCCTGGTGTTCGGGACACCCATTCCGCGATTGAGGCACAAAACTGCTCAAAAGAAGTTCCATAAACCATCTCATTAAGTATCTGACGATTAATCCCTAAATCCTGAGCCATGATTATCAATATACACCTATACTTGACTATACAGTCTAGATTCCTGGCTCTCTATGTGTGCACCAACAGGACCGCGATTCAACACGTGGGCATTCTATGTTTAAAATGATGCCATTTACCTCATAAAAAAGACACATTAATATGCCGCACTTCCCTCTGAGAATCCTCAGTCAGTATGTCATCTACCATTATAGGCCAATCTCCAACACATTTTCCAAATCATATCACCAAAAACCCAAAAGTGCTCCATCTACTGATTAGATGTGACGAGAGTTCGCTTCGAGAACAACCTAACCAATAGTCCACACTTAGCATTGTGCGTACCCTAGAACAGGAAAGATGGCATTACCCATTTGGACAAGAGTCTCAGTCAGGTTTCAAGAGACTTCAACGCTCACCAGTCACCCACCGAAATTATCAGCTTTAACCTTGCGACCAGAGGTTACAGGCTGATTTCTTTTCCATTGATTGTGTCCCCTCTGACAGCTTTCCGGACTCACATCTCTGTGTTGTATTGTATACCTTCGTGACTAAACCTGATAAGTTCCACCTATTCAGAGTCATCTTATCAGATAGTGTTCCAACGCCTTGCAGAGCATACACTGATTACTAATGAACGCTATTCATAGACAGTTATCTGGTTCATTTCAGTAGTCTCGACTGGAAAAATGCTTGCTGCTCTGAAGGTATACAAGTACTGGCGAGGCAGTGCGGCCAAGTTTTTGGTCAAGTTTCCCCAAAAGGCTTGCTAATGACTTCTTAAAATCAAGGGACTCACCCCAATCAATTGGCCCCAGGCATGTAAGATGGTACAGCGTGCTTCACACACACTCGAGGTTTCAAGATCATGTTGCGGTGGCCACCAAGGCGGCTTTTTTCACCCGAGTGCTACGACCTCTAATTCTGGTTTACATTGTACCTGCCAATAAACCCATTGCCAGAGCGTCTATTTGTATGTATCATGCCATGTGCGCTATATCGTGCTCAGTCATCATCTACGAAAAGGAGCCGACTTAAGAGACACTACATCTTTATTCTACTATCGATTGATGAATTCGCGCGCACCGTTTCTATCGTGTGAGTGGTATGATTAATCATAATTCGAAGCCATGAGATAAATACATCAGCCAATATATTCCTACATAGGTTTAAACACCTGATAGTCATGAGAAACGGATTTAGAGACATTGGCTCTCATCTTCTAACATACTATGCTCAAACAGAGAGCCGTGGGATGGGCCCTACTCTCTATTCTGCCGCTTCTTTAATGTCCAATAAAACTGTGTTATGTGTGACTAGCACTCCTCTTCTATAATATTAGCGTTCTAATCAAATATGAGTTATCTTAACCACCTATTCTTAACGTGCGTTAGCAATCTGGATCCAATAGGCCTTCCAGCCATCCATGCGTACACTGTGGAGAACCTGGACTCCTCTTTTTCAACCGAGCCAGTGTCCCATATTTCCAGAGTAGCACATATTAAACGAGAAAATACGTAACATCGATTTTGTTCTTTATCCCATTTGAATTCGTCCAGCCTAACATCTCCCCTTTACATATAAGAAGTATAGCCGTCTGTCCCAAGATTCTTGAGCAGAACACTGCAAAAAAATCGTTCAGATGTTCTCCAACATAGCCAATGTTTTATTACTTCGTTCTAGCCGGCAGGATTACTACTAGCGGTGTGAAAATTACAATATCATACTTAACATTGATAATGTCCACCCACAAAGAATTAATTCTCCCACATGCGACAAAGCCTTAGCCACGCTAACTCTCCATATATATGCCAGGAAGATGTGGTTCGAGATCCAAGGCCCCGAGAGTCCATACTGTGACACATGGACTGGATGTAAAGAGGGATGTGTTAGTATTGCCTTCCAGAATTGTATTTTCTTGTATTTTTCACTCCTTCACTCCTACTCTTCTCTTGCCTTCTTCCAATACAAAGAAATTAGCGCGATACTCCTCACACAGAACACGTCATCCTCACATCACCAATTTCCTTACAGCACTATATTATTGCCCGATCTTACTCACCCATTTCCTTATTAAGCCTTAATGACCTTGTTTTATTTGTGCAGTAGTTAACTACTTGCTGAGGTCAAGCCACGTGAGGTTTAGCGAGCCACTCTAGCATATCAGTCTCTCGCTTCTAGGCACCCTAGTCATCGCGTGGTTTTTGCTTTTATAGTCTCTAATGTTAAATAATTATACTGTCTGTAAAACATCTAGGTATGGGCCGCCTTGACCCTCGCGCAGTGTTTTTCAGCTGAACAGCCCCTCTATCTTCCCTTGTCTTATGACCACGTTTGCGAATACCCGCACCCAGCAGCTTCGATTTTACAGATCAAACCCACCATAGTACTTCATAATTTATTTCAAGATGTAGGTGTCGTCCCCCTTTTCCCAGAAGACCTCTTCCCTGTATTTTCTGTTTCAGTAAGCCACCAGTCACTTATCTTGTTGATGGCTGCTGTGAACTCCCTATGCTATCGCCTCTTGTGAGAGTCTCCTCGCCTCTTAGTGTAGCCAGCCTCCCTGGTCAATAGAACGTTACGAATCTTGTCTCGTCGCATCCACCGATTCCGACCATTGCGTCATGTAGCGAAGACTTATCCATAATTCAATCACGACCACCTATATCCCACTCCACTTATGTAACAGTAAATCTAGACCGCTCCTCCGTGCAATTGTACATTCAATTAATGCTGTTCCATCCCATCACCCACAACTGCTTCGTGGCCCCTTCTATACATTCACCAGACAGACATGAAGGTCTGCCTATCGTTCCTGTCTTCCACCCTCTTCTGGCGCCCAATACACCCCAAATAAGTCGCCACAAGGGGTTTGCGCTTGAAAGGAGACCAGAACCTAGTTGCCACGACACGCGCCCCCCGCTGGGAGTCACTCTCTCTACTATAGTCCAGGAAGAAAGTTGTGCAGTCCCTGTTTATAGAGACGAGCGCACTGATTCCCCACGCTTCCCTCCTCACTCTCACGTTCCCCTAACAAGTTGTCGTTGTTCATCTGGAAGTAGTGGTTACTGACTGGTATACATGATGCCACTGCTTGGTTGTCAGGTGCCGCATCTTCTATCTATAGAAGCACCTTGAGGCAGCTGTGTTTGACTGGTTTTGCATGTCGTGATATGACAATATATAGAATCCTCTATGGGCATACTTGTGAACACACAAGGAATGCATATGTAATAAAACACACTGCTTGTCGACAAGCCAACAATATATTGTGACATATAAAGTCTCCACTGTTATGTATGAATAATCTTTTGATGTTTTCTGAGCCGTTAACCGCCTTAGCTTGACAGTTTTCCCATCCCCATAGATGATACTTACAACGAGAGCACCAGAGAAGAGGATAGAGAACACAACACGCGTGGCGGAGAAGAGGCAGGAGCTACTTGTGATATGAAAGATGACTACAAGAAGTGTGTCACCAACTATAGACTTTCGGAGACCTTATTGATTGGAAGTTAGTCGATCAAATTACAAGGGTATAAGTACGGCTTTCTGTGGTGTTATTAGCTTTTATGTTATCGTTAGAAGTGCGTTTGTACCCCCATCTCCATACCTATTCATTTGGTAGCATACGAGGTTCTATGCCACTACTTCTAAGTTCCTCCTTGTGCGTCCTTCCTAAGGATTGAAGCGTCACAGTACTAGTATTATGAGTGTATCCCACTATTCGGCTTAAGCCTTGTTCACACTAAATGGAGTTTGAGGGCTTGATAATTTATATGGTTATTGGAGATTCTGAGAGTCAGGATTGACCTCCTGCGTTGTATAGTGGAGTGTGTTTTAACCAAGATTAGTTGATATCTACTTTGCATGCTAGGCACAGACGCAAGTCTAATTGTCTTGTGCAGGATTATTAAATAAAAAATTCCTATACTAGTTTTTTGGCAACCTTGAAACGCGCCCTAGCACTATCCTCAGTACACATACCTTGAAATGATATATGGGCAGATATTGTATATCCCTCAAATGTCAGAGCGAGCCTCCACTTGCGTGCGTATTTCTATATATTTCTTTGTCTTCACCCCAAAGCGGAAGCCATGTCCCACATGGAATATAGGAGCTTCCCATTGCCCTCTTTCCAAGACCGGAGAAGAGGCACACACACTCTCTTGGAGACTGCCTACTAAGAGAAAAACCCATAACCATGCCTTAGGCGTCACCGAGAATGCTTTGAGACCCAGAGCTGTGACGATGATTTATGGGAATGCCATTTCGCCATACCTATGTGCCCATCAAAACTAACTCGTCCACAACCAAAGCACAAAGGAGTGTGTACAAATTATGTATATTGTAGTGATTGCCAGCTGTCCTATACTCGTGTTCAATTGTCTTTGCTCATTAGTTCCACTTGGTATTCTCTCTCTGCCAGATGACGGTGTCGATGAGAATTGCAGATTAGATTTTGATAATGCATTGAAAATGGGAGATATGATCATCTTATCGTTTGCATGGTTGACAATGAGAGGTATTAACAGGATGTTTGGAGTTTGAAAGCCGTCTAAAGTAGAACTCAAGGGTAAGCTCTGTGCCTAGGAGCTTCTCGAACACAGCAAGTTATTTGATTGTTCTTAATGTGTAAAAACGTTCTTGATCTCATGTTGCATTTCAATAATATTAACAGGGATTTTGAAACCCAAAGGTAACTCAGGCTCTGTGCTAGGAGCTTCTCGAACAGCAGTATGTAGAAACTTCTCTTGCCTTCTCTGTCCACGTGACTTACGAGACTTCCCGGGTGCAGTCTCTATGTCCGCATCATAGAAGGGCAAGGCACGGAGTGGGTGTAGGGACTCCTCTTTCTTCTTAGCTTGAGCTCTTGTTACTGCAACATTGCATGTATGACTAGGATTCAGCAAGTCAAACAACACAGGCAGATCTCGACCCAGCACTACTGGAAATGGCAGATTCTCTGCAACACCAATATTTAGAATATACGTTTGTCCTTGTACCTTGATGTACAGATCTGCTGTTGGATATGATCTCTCATCTCCATGAATGCAGCGAACAGGGATTGTCTCCACATTAACTTTATTTGCGGGTACAAAGTCTCGGTGCACAAGAGTCTGAGTACTTCCTGAGTCAACAAGGGCCTTTAATGGTTTCCCATCAACCTCAACTAAGGTCATTTTGAAACCAATTCTCAAACTCCACTTTAGGCTCCACACTTTGTCGGGGCACAATGCAGTGTTATGTGGATATGTGAATTAACTAAACCAAAACCAGTTATTTATTGTCCTGTAAATAAATTCCTATATTTAAAGAAAGAAATGTGAATGCAAGGTTACTTATAAGCCTCTACACTAACATGGTGATATTACCACTGTGTGGCTGTAAGTGCAGCCATTCAAAATAGTCAACAGGGTCGCAAGAAGCGTGTGGAAAAACCAAGGCGCAAAATAACTGCTCATGAACTGAGAAAAGTCAAGCGTGCAGCTGCCAAGATGCCACTTGCCACCAGTTTGGCCATATTTCAGAGCTGCAACATCACTGGAGTGCCCAAAAGCACAAGGTGTGCAATACTCAGAGACATGGCCAAGGTAAGAAAGGCTGAAAGACGACCACCACTGAACAAGACACACAAGCTGAAACGTCAAGACTGGGCCAAGAAATATCTCAAGACTGGTTTTTCTAAGGTTTTATGGACTGATGAAATGAGAGTGAGTCTTGATGGGCCAGATGGATGGGCCCGTGGCTGGATTGGTAAAGGGCAGAGAGCTCCAGTCCGACTCAGACGCCAGCAAGGTGGAGGTGGAGTACTGGTTTGGGCTGGTATCATCAAAGATGAGCTTGTGGGGCCTTTTCGGGTTGAGGATGGAGTCAAGCTCAACTCCCAGTCCTACTGCCAGTTTCTGGAAGACACCTTCTTCAAGCAGTGGTACAGGAAGAAGTCTGCATCCTTCAAGAAAAACATGATTTTCATGCAGGACAATGCTCCATCACACGCGTCCAAGTACTCCACAGCGTGGCTGGCAAGAAAGGGTATAAAAGAAGAAAAACTAATGACATGGCCTCCTTGTTCACCTGATCTGAACCCCATTGAGAACCTGTGGTCCATCATCAAATGTGAGATTTACAAGGAGGGAAAACAGTACACCTCTCTGAACAGTGTCTGGGAGGCTGTGGTTGCTGCTGCACGCAATGTTGATGGTGAACAGATCAAAACACTGACAGAATCCATGGATGGCAGGCTTTTGAGTGTCCTTGCAAAGAAAGGTGGCTATATTGGTCGCTGATTTGTTTTTGTTTTGTTTTTGAATGTCAGAAATGTATATTTGTGAATGTGGAGATGTTATATTGGTTTCACTGGTAAAAATAAATAATTGAAATGGGTATATATTTGTTTTTTGTTAAGTTGCCTAATAATTATGCACAGTAATAGTCACCTGCACACACAGATATCCCCCTAAAATAGCTAAAACTAAAAACAAACTAAAAACTACTTCCAAAAACATTCAGCTTTGATATTAATGAGTTTTTTGGGTTCACTTGAGAACATGGTTGTTGTTCAATAATAAAATTATTCCTCAAAAATACAACTTGCCTAATAATTCTGCACTCCCTGTATAGAGCGCTTTGAGTACTCCGGGAGAGTAGAAAAGCGCTATGTAAGAATCAGTCCATTTACCAATAAATTCAGCAGAACACAACAAAGTAAAACATTTAAATGCCCTTAAACATGTTGCCCACTCCGGGTCGAGAAGAGGGGAACCTTCATTTAGGCAAACTGTCCTCTTTTTGGAAACCAAGACTTGCATAGTGTGCTGTGCTGATGGCTCAACAGTAACTTTTATTTTGGAACCATTTTAAACAAACTTTAGGTTTTGCAACAATCACATGTTTGATTGACCAGAAAAATAAAACGGGTCAGTGGAAACCGTAACACCAGACTGTATTAGTTTCAGTATGAATGCAGAGCCAAAGCACTGAAAGCTGCGGAGTTTAAACCGGCTTGAGCTGTCAGGAATACTGGTGTGTCTGGCAGAAACACTCCATATATGCCATAAATGCAGTTCTTGATAGGTCAAAAAGGTTGTTTGGTTAATGTGCACAAAGAAGGTAACGAAGCACAAAAAGAAACTTTAAGTTGGCAGAGGCCTCAAAAAATCCCTTCTTCCAATCATTTGTTGTCCTTTTACTAAGCATAAAAACAACATAAGTACATGTGTGCAACACTAGCAGAAAATACACATTTGGAAACATTAAAAACACAAAGTTCACTGCCTGGAAATATCGTTTTCTTCTGCCCAGTTCCTGTTCTTAAAGACAAATGGATAGTAGCATGTACACAAAGGTACACTATTCAAATGAATAGAAACCCGTCTGTTTTTTTCATGTTCAGTCCCACACTTGATGTGCGTCAGCTGATGCTTTGTCTGTTTGCAATAAATCTGTTAAACGCCGCTGCTGATATGAACACAAAGAAGCAGCAGATATTTTTTTTTAAAAAAGGCATTTGGCTCTACAGTGACAACAAAAGAAATCACGCACTTAATATAATAACAAGGACATTCTGCAATTAGGAGTCAGGCTTGTGCCTTTGTCCTTTCTTGTTTTGATTTGTTTTGGGGTTTTACAAAAGTTAACATTTTTAAAAAAGTTGCTCTTCCAGAACAGTTGTTTTGACTGTACAGAATGTGGAACAGGAAATAGACACAGACTGTTGGATGCCAGCTTCTTCATTTTACTACATACATTTACTGCAGTGGAATACAGAGGTGCTGAGATGTGTTTTCTGGAGTCGATCACGATTCTCTGTCTTCACTCTCCAGACTTTGTGGGGACAGTTTGGGAATGGCCTCTTCCTGATCCAACATGACTGCACAGTGCCGTGAGGTAACTGTTGCTGTGATTGGTGCTATATAGAGAAATAGTAATTGATTTATATGTTTTATATATCTAAATATTAGCCTGTAGACTGTTCAGTCAGGATTAATGCAAACATGTTTAGAATACTCCTCTCCTAAACTTCTCCCGAACAAATCCAGGCGTAGTCAGGAAGCACTCAGTGTGTATAGTTTATTCTGCCGGCCTCCCAGGTGCACAAAAGATTATTTACAGAGAAAATAAACAACTGACTTAATTCAAAACAAAAAATCTATATACAAAACACAAGCAGCTGAGCCAGTCTGCAGGTTACCCTCACTAACATCTCACAGTATGCCCAGGTAGGCCCTGATGGCCTCCTTTAATACCCCATTGCCTCTCCCACTAGGCATAATAGTCATCCCTTTATCATTTCTTTCCCCCAAAACACTCTTTTTTCCTCAGCTTATTTCCAGCTGTATTCCTACAATACATATATATTTATGTATACACACATTCATGGCCACTTCCTGGCAGCCAAAAAAAACAAGAAATATTAATGCAGTCACGTGACCTTTCCAAGCGTGTGCGAACCTTGTTATAAATATTTATAACAAGGTGCAATAATAATTAATGTGCAATAATAACAGTGTGCAATACACATACACTTATTCTTCTTTTTTATTACTAAGTTAATATACTGTGTTGTGTTGTTTGTGTTGTTGTGATGTGTCATATCGTGTCGTGTTGTGTTATATGTAGTGCCGACGTAGGACAGTTTTCCAATTTCATTGTACTACTGTACTATGTATGACTGTGCAATGACAATAAAGAGTTATCGAGCCTATACAGCTTGGAGTAAGACAACATGCATGAAGAGGATGATGTGGACAAAATACTCATTTGCCTAATAATTCTGCACTCCCTGTACAACATGCCTCATTCACCCATTCACACCCACTCATACAAGAATTTCTATACACAAGTGCAAACTAATCTGCATTCATACTCCTATGACACACAAAAGCCCCAAGGAGAAGTTAAGACTGCATGCTTTTAGTGCTGGACTACACTGATCTTTGTCATTGCCCTGCTGTGTTGTTTTTGTTTTTTGTCTGCAATTGCACTTGCTTGAAGATGTTTGTCATAATTGGAAATGTATTCAATCAGACACACGCTCGACCTTTCTCACCAGAATGTGGCTGAGGGGATATCATGTCCTTGTTTGTTTGTTTTAGGCTATATGTTGATTTTATCAAGTCACCAATGACCAGATAAATCAGCTGCCTATGTGGGGTAGTAGTTCTAATTTGTCTGTATGCCAAATTCAAATGGCACAATTAATTCTTTAAACTTTAATTTCACTCCTCCATGCATTTCACCTTCTCTGTGACACTTCATTTTGAATCTCACAATGAGTCACAGACTGTAATGAATTAATTTCCTCTATATCATTGGAAAATCTAAGAAAGCCATTACACAAATTTAATTCATGCATATGTGAAATAACCTGAAATGAACTGGAGACACAGTTCAGCCTGTGGCGTTAGCCCGTTAGCTGGCTGCCTTGTCAGACATAATTAACTTTCCACAGTCTTTCCTGTCACTTTTGCTGTAATTTGATAGAATCATGGACAGAAGATTTGAGAAGGGGGTAAAAATGCTCTCAGAAATGAAAAAGAAATCCAGGTCACAGGTAGAATCTATTGCTGTGTAGATAAAGTAGAAACTGAGTAAAACTGGGTAGCCCAGTAGTTTAGTCAGTTCAGTGGGTTACTCCAAAAAGATACACAAAGCAAATGACATGTTTGACTCGATGCAATCACGGATCTTTCATTTGAATTGCATTTGGTATATTTATTTGCTCTGCACAAAACCCAGGATCAAGTGCATTATCAAAATGCTGTTAAATACAATATATGATAAAGCCACCCATTTATCAACTAAGACATACAGAGCTCAATACTAAGTCAGACTTTTGGGGGAGTGGTGGTTAGTGATGGGTTGTTCGCGAACGAAATGGCTCTTAGAGCCGGCTCTTTGATGTGAACGACGCGAGCCGGCTCCTTATCGGGAGCCGTCACGTCGTTTTTTTTTCTTTCTTTCTCTCACCCTCTCTCTCGCACTTTTTCCCGCTTTACTCTGCACGCGAGCCTTGTGCTTTACGCTGGGCAGAGGGGGGAGGGGCGGTAGTTACACTCAGTAGCACAGGAACAGAGCCAGAGGGAGAGAGAGAGAAAGAGAGCCAGGGACAACAACGTCACATTAGAAAGGTATAGTAATCATCCACAACTATTTTCGGTTGCAGATGATAAAGGATTCAGAAAGTTTATTCATGCAGGCCCATATGACAGAGAATATGCATGTTCTTTTTGTTTTCATATTATAATTTATATTTAATTGTGTTGTGGTTTGCAGTGTTTTGTGTTGTTTTCACTTTAAATTTGTAAAAGGAAAAAGCTGAAAATTTAAATAGTTAAAAGTTGAAATGTGAATAGTTGATTTTTGTATTATATGATTTATTTATTACATTTTATGTGGAGTGAATAAATAAAAGTATATTTACAGTGGCCCCTACAGACAAAGCACATACAAACTTCAAATCACATACGAACACTGAAGCATGTACAAACTCAAAACACGTAAAAACTCCAAAACACGTAAAAACACGTACAAACTCCGAAGCACATAAAAACTCCGAAGCACATAAAAACTCAAAACACGTACAAAAGACAACAGAAGTGCTCCAGGATGCTGGGCGCAGTGTTGAGCTTTTGTTATCTTGTGGCTACACAAGCCAGCAAGTACCAACGACCGGATTTGGTGTGTGGTAATAACAGGTAAATGAACTTTTTTTTAAAATTATTTGAATATATATGAGTGCCTGTGTATAAATACACAAACAATACACACATGCTTTCAATTGTGTAATTTAAGTGATCTAGTAGCTCTGCTTTGGAAGTTCAGTTCATGCTAGAAATGTGTTTTGGAGTTTGTACGTGTTTTGTCTCTAGGGGCCACCGCATATATTTATATATAAACATATATAAATAAAACCACTTTTTTTACGTTAGTAATTCCTTTTGTGCATAATTTTATATTATTGTTAATAATAAATTAATTAAAGCAACAAAACAACCTGAAGAGCCGGTTCGGAGCCAAAAGAGCCGACTCTTTTTAGTGATCTCTAAAAAGAGCCGGAAATGCCATCACTAGTGGTGGTACAACCAGTGTATTTTCTCTGGACCATCCACTTTTAGTTTGCTTCACTCACATTGGATTTTCTTTTATTCTTGGTGGACTTTCTCAATTTGTCTTCACAACTCTGCTGATGCCTCATCAAATAAAAATAAAAATATCTGTTTATCTTAAGCACACAATCATATGGGACCCACGGTTTCCCAACAGAATATTGCCCAAAGCATCACACTGCAACCACCAGCTAGTCTTCTTCCCCTAATGCATCGAAGTGCAAGGTGTTCCCCAGGTAGGTGATGTACACGCATGCAAATGTGTGCATGGTTTATCAGACATGGTCGCTTTCTTTCATTTCTCCATGGTCCAGGTTTGATGCTCACGTGGCCATTGTTCATGCTTCCAGCACTGACAGGGCTCAGCATCAGCACTCGGACTAATCTGAGGCTGTACAGTCACATACTGTTGGATCAGACCTCACAGACCTTCACTCCTAGCATGCATCAGTGAGCCTTGACCCTGTCATTGGTTCATCACTGCGCCTTCCTTGAACTGTTCCTTCCTTGAACTGTCCCTTTCTTAATACTGACCACTACAGATCAGACAAAGCCCACATGACCCTCCATGACTCACTCGAATCCTTACACTTGCCCGTTGTTTCCAGTTTCTAACACATAAGCATTGAGTGCTCTATCTTATTCATTAACAGGTGCAATGCTGACAGGATAATGAGTGTTATTCACTTCACCTGTCAGTGTTCATAATGTTATGCCTGATCAATACATTTTGGCCTTCAAAGGTAGCAAATAGTGACTTTGATAATTGGCCAGAGGTTGTTAAGTCATTACTCGACAACCGGATGAACTCACAGTGCTAAAGTCAGTGCACTCAAGTATAAGAGCATATACATCATACAAGAGGCAGACAGAATGGCGTCTGTATGTGTCGTGGTGGCAGCAGGTGAATGTCAGGGTGCAGCATGAAGCTTTCTGTTCCACTTTCCCCTGAATGTTAGACAGTCAAACCTGATGAGAAATCAAAGGTTGGTCAAAGAGAAGAGGTGGGAAGTTATCAATGCAATAATCCATTAAATGTGTGCTACGTCAGCAAGATGATGAAAAGCTAGACCTTCCCAAGCAACTGAAGCACGCCTATAATTGCAGAGAGCAGCTCGATCTGTTGGTGCAGAGACAGTGGGCGAATCTACAGAAGACACTAATGATATTCACAAGAGGACAGTGAGCCATTGAGTGGACACAGCCCCACTGCTGCTCCCTGTGGGATCAGAGCACAGGAAGGCAGTGAAGATCCACCTGATGGAGGATCAGCACAGCACCGCATGACTGATATGCTCCACTCACAGGTCACCAGCACATCATTAGTCTTACCTGTTCGGTTCAGCATGCCAGCCCCCCCCTCAAGGGTCACATGTTTCAAATGCAATAGTGCATTTGTGATTGTCTGATAGAAGCATGATTTCAAATCTTGGTTTAAAGCAACAGAGAATCTCAGCTTCCACAATAGTGTGGAAGCTTGGAATGTCACGCTACAGCATCAAAAATATATACACTACATTTCTAACTCAGAGTGGGTGAATGTGTTTTATTAAGCTTAGACTTCATGTTTGTCCAACCTCATAATGACAACTCTTAAAAAAAGAAACAAGCCTGTATTATTTGGATGTAAATGTAGTCAAATGCATACGATTCATCCAGGTGAAATTCTTAGCTTACAAAGGAATTGTAGGGTTAAGATAAGACCCACCCCTTTTCTTTCATTTCACCTGTGTTATGAAAGCACAGCAGTGGGTAATTTAACTTAAACTTGCTTAACTTGAGAGCACTCAACCCAACTTTCTTTATGATGTCTGCAACGTTTTGTGAATTTCTATAAAACATTCAGGCTTGTGTTGTGATAGTCTTATACAAGTGTTTTGGGTTTTTTGTATTATCAGCATATTTAAGGTGAACGTACTCTGTGGCAGTAGGGCCTCAGTGTGTGTCATTCTTTCCAGAATGTGCCGTTTGACTCTGGTTTTTTCAGTAGTCTGGTAACCTCAAGCAGTGTTTATTGTTATGAAGATAACTGAGACATTTGAGTCTTGACATACTGCTCACTTTTATTTATAAATGCTTTGTAAGCACAATCCTCAATTTACACGAGGTCACACAAAATAACCTGCCTGAATTAATCATGATTTTTAATAATTAACACTTAATTCAGATAAAACTGAGGTTATTGTACTCGGCCCTGAAAACCTTAGAAATATGGTGTCTAACCCTGGATGGCATTACCTTGGCCTCCAGTAACGCTGTGAGGAACCTTGGAGTCATTTTTGACCAGGATATGTCCTTCAACGCTAGGGCTGCTCGATTATGGCAAAAATGATAATCACGATTATTTTCACTGAAATTGAGATCTCGATTATTTGACGATATTTATTTAACCCTTTAAGACCTACCATA